CAGATTTCAGCAAACTACAAAAACCAAAGTTATTTGGTATGCTATACCTCGAGGAAATCCACTTCACCAAATTGTCCTCATTAAAGAGAGAACAGTAGCGATGTGCTGAAATTTTAAACACGACTATACAATGAAGGAAATCAACTGGAACAGCTAAGCTGAAATAAATAATGAAAGGCTATGAAACAATTAATTACAGAGGAGGTTTTGTACAGTAAATTGAATTGTGTGATAAAAAAAAATTAACCAGCAAAAAACAGCTATAAATGTATTATTATCATTATTATTTCTAAATATATGACTTTAGTTGAAGAGACTATTCAAATATTTTTAACAATGACAGCAACTATACAGTACATTAATGAATGTATTCAATTTCAATTTTTAATTTACTATTATTAGTATCACCATCATTATTATCATTATTATTATTATTAAAACTACTACTACAATATTTTAGATTATAAAACTAAATATATTCTTTAGGTTATTAAAATAATTATTTAAAAAATGACATTATTGAATGCGTTTCAATTTCATTTTAAATTTTTATTTAGTTACTATTATTGCTATTATTATTATTGACATCGCTTTAAATTATATGTGACCCTGTCTGTGAAATCCAGGCTAAAGTCTCAAAATCTAATTATGAGAAGCATCAAAGTTTGATTTCAACCATTAATTTCACTATGATTTCAATCTTTGACATGGCCTTACTCAGTCAATATTAAAGATATAAAGGTTGTATTTTCACAGAATGTTCTACATCTTTATGAAAGATGATTTTATGTAGAAAACAGTAAATCACACAAAAAATGACTTTAGCTGGGTTTTCACATGGCAGGGTCACATATAACTAAATATTATATTCTTTTATTTAAGAGATCACTAAAAAATATTTAAAACAAAAACAACTTTTATTGAATGCACTCACTTTAATGTTGACATATTTAATTTTATTACTATTGTTATTAAATTATACTGAATAATAATAATAATCATCAAAATTTTTTAAAGTGCTTAAGAAGAAAAGGCCATGGCAAACACAGAGAAATGACAGTTAAAAAAAAAGGAATTCCATTCAAAGAACCAAGTTATCAGTTTTATAAAATGGTAGAAAACAACCAGAAAGTGTGGAGGAGAGGGATGAAGGAAAGAAAATGAAAGAATGATAACATGGAGGAGAAAGAAAGAGAGCTAGAGGCAGTGAAACGGAGAGACGGAGACAATCGCGTGTCTGTTACTGGGACGCTCTGACACCCATGGACTGACACAGCACGTCTTAAAGCAGTGCTCACGCTCAAAAGGAGCAGCGTTTCTTCATGTTTACAAAACATATTTATTTCTTTCTTCATTCGATCATTTATTTTGTTATTTATTTCTATCGGGGGCACTCTCGGCTTCTCTGTAAAGCCTGCGACAACAATAACTACTCTCCCCCCTTGAATGCTCTTTTAATACCACTGCAGAAAAAAATCTAACCGCTCTCAAAACAAATTGATGTACGCTTTAATACAGTCGTCACATCATCACAGGGTCCTTGCATCGTCTGCCTTGGTGACAACTGCAGGGCTGCTTAGCTTAGCCGCCATGGCTACTGCTTTGTTGGTCGCTTCAATGATTTATCACAAAAAAAGGAAGGAGAGAGAGAGAAAGAAAAGAAGGGCCTCTCGATTGAGTCATTGGCACCTTTGATTGACAAGGCCTAATCAGCTTATCTGGGTGCTAATAAAGATGATGGCCTGCGGAGACGCTCTCTACCTGGCTCTGCGTGAACTTTGGGCCCTGGTGAGGGCCCCAGGGGCCAGGCCCCGACCCACTCTGCTTATCTAAACACTGCTGAAATCAATCCCTAATGAGCTGGTTTCATTTTGCCCCATCGATCCGCTGCCACAGTGGCTGCTGCGTATTCAAAGGCCACCGCTCTGCTCCTTACGGACCCCATTCCCGCAGCTCGTTTGTTTATATCGGACACTCCGTTAAAATAAATTTTGATTAATTAATAGATTTTGAGGTCAACTGTCTGAGATTAAATTGTTTTCTTAGAAAAAAATACAACTAACCATTCTTCAACAATCCCAAATGTGACTGCAAATAACAGAATTACACCCCCTAGGTATTTTATTTTCCTCCATACAAAACATCTTTTGCCCACTTCCTTGGCTTTAATAAACAGCCGGGCATTTCTTTGATTAGGGTTTATTTAACGCTTGTGGGCTCTGGGACATCTCTGATTTAAATGCCTTTAAATTGGCTGATTTGCTCCCTCCTACTGTACTCCAGGCTCTCTTCAGGCCGGCGTGCCTCTGGTTCAGGCAGCTTTAAAGTGGGTGTCCTCTGCTAATGAAGACCCATACTTTATTTATGAGACAAACAGTTTGGTAAAAAGCTCTGCATGTCCAGAGAGCACTCTCAATATCTCTCTGAGGGCCTGGAGTGCTCCTGACATGCTGCTAGTGCTGGACTGAACGCACCACACACTAAAACACCCTTAAAACACACACTCTGTAGGTACAATCAAAAAAATTCATAAAATTCAAATTGCATTAAAAAATATATATAAATAAATAAAATACAATATGGAGACTCCTCACAATTTTAATACAGAACTAGGAGATTTTTCCAATATAATCAAAAATTCAAGAATTCGGTCAACAAATCATCCTTGATAATAAAATTATTTTGTCAATACAAAGAGCATGTTTTAAAAGTTGTTTTAAATGACAAATGAATTTAAAACAACAAAAAACTAAATCTTAAGCAATTTTGTGCATTATTAGCGCTCAGCTAGAAAATGTAACCGTAAATGTTATAGTAATTTTTTTATTTATATATGATTTGCAAACACACTGATATTATTTTGATTCTAACTATGCTATTATTTTAAATGTAAAAATAATTTATATTCACATACACAATATATAAATATTAATACTCCATTACTTTATATTTATGAAATGTAGAAGTAATAATAAAATGTGTAAACAAACATACAGCATGTTTAGATTTTAAGTAAGCTATTATTTCAAGACTTTAAATGTATTATTTGTGTGTGTGTGTATACACATACACATATATATATATATATATATATATATATATTATTTTACACTTAAAGCCATATAAAATAATAAAATAATTGTATTGTGTATTACTGTGTGTATACTTACCCTACATGC